TCTGAATATAAGATGGTGACTCCCATCAAGGAATTCAGTGTCTAATGGAGGAGGTAGACACATAAACAGATACTATAAGGATGGTCTTAATATGCAGACAGTCAGCCATGCCAGTTATCAGCTTGGCAGTGCCTTAATCCCAGGGCTGAAGGGAGGAGCTTTTCTGCCGTCAGCTTTTCCGAAGATTGATAAACTGCATGCAGACAACTAATGCCCGGTGCTGCCAAATAAATCCATAGGATTGAAATATAACTGAGCAATGTGTAGAATTAGGAGAATACAGTCATGCCTTAAACACAAACATTTATCTGAAACCTGTTTAGAGTGAGAAAAAATATAATAGTGATGATGATTATAATTACTATAATGAGGCCTATTCTCTGGCTCTCTGGAAAGAGAAGAGCCTGCAGTGGGTGTTGTCTGCATTGTGTGGGGCACATGCAGAGTCATCCCCACACTGCTGGCACAGTGTACAGGTGTATGTTTGTGTGTGTGTGTATGTGTTTGTGTATGTGTTCCCGTCTTTGACCTGTGCTTTGAAAGGTAAACTGGATGTAAGAAGAGAAAGGGATAAACCAGAAACTACCAGACCGCACTTGGGTTCTGGGGCTGGATTTCCTCTGAAGTAATTTGTGTTTCTGAGAAAAGCCGCTGTTCTTCCCTTAACTGCTTGGCCAGGTACGTGACTGTACCACTGGTGGCCAAGTGCTTCTCTGAGCACCTTCACGGGGGTGTTAAGAGGTGATTTTTATCTCTTTGCAGCCCAGGGGGATACTTCTCTGTATCCTCCTAAGTCAGAAAAGAAAAATCAAACCTAATATCTATCATAGGGAATCTGTCACACCATTTTTCCTACAGATAGGTAGGTAACAATACCTGTTCCTTTGTTACTGATCATCAAATTGAAGCTCAGAGACGTAAATTAATTTGTCTAACGTCACCCAGTTAATCAGACAGATAATATATATTGTTAATAGATATATTATTAGTTTTGTTTTTTTTTAACTCATGTTTCTTGCCTGCCTAGTAGAAACGTTTCCATTGACCTGTTTCCCTACAATTGAATGGACTGTGTATACTTTGGAAAATGCCACAAATTTCCTCTTTTTTTCCACATATTTTATTTGAGTTTCATCTGAATCTGTTAGGCTAAAATAAGCTGTAAATTATCTAGCCAATTGTATCACATCTGTGATGCACAGGATCCAAAACTGGGTTACCTCCTGGTCTTTCTCATTCAAGGAAATTCAGCCATGTCCATGACATATTATTTCTTCACAACTTTCTGCTTGGCAGATCAGCTTGCAGTTTAAAGAAACATGTCCTTGAATATTTCAAATCTCTCTTGACTGAAAGGAGGGAGGGAAAGGGGTATTGAGAACAATTTAATCGAGGATGAAGAATTAGGCATGAATATTATTTTTCTCAAAATAAAATAATAAAACTTCCCTGAGCTTGGGCACTCTGCCATAGTCTTCAAATGAATATTTTAAAAACAAAGAAAAACACCTGATAGTATCTGGTGCCCTCTAAGCTTACAGCTCACAACTTGAGTAACATGGCCTTTCAGAGCTCAGAAATATGGGTAATGACCCAGCCATACTGATCTCTGAGCCTCACTTATCTCTGACGGCAGAAGGGCTAATGAGCTTGCCTATGGAGACTAATAGGTACTAATGGTAGATTGAGGACTTGAGTTTGGGAATCTTGACTCCTGATCCAAGACTTTTCTTTCTGGTGTGTGGGATCCTTTAGTAGTGCCCCCACTGCCTCTAGTTGAAGGTCAACTCCACAGTAGGGCATGCAAGATCCTCATGATCTGTCTCCTGCCCACATGTCTAGTCTGTTCCCTGCCTTGTACATTTGTACCTTCTGTCTGGAATGCCTCTTGCTGTGATTCTTCCCCCACACACACACCTTTTCTGCTTTGTAAGCATTTTTTTCAAATCTAGATTGTCACCTCCACCATGAAGTCCTGTGTACCCCCCCCCCCACCCCTTCTGCCACATAGTATTTTCTCTCGCCTGGTATGTTTATTAATTTATTGATTTATTGTACTAGGCTCCAGTCTAAGCATGAGTTATGCAGCAGTGAACACAACTGAGCAGCTCCCTGCCCTGGTGGAGCTTACAGTCTAGTGGGGAAGACAGCTGTTGAACACAGTCAACATGCAGATATAAGAATGTCATTATAACTGGGGTGATTACCGTGAAGGAATAAACACTGTGCTTCCAGCGTGGGAGAGAACTCAATGAACCCATGGTGTTATGATTTTTAAATTGGCATTCCATCTACTGAGGGAGGCTGAGAGCTCCTGAACTCTTCTTCCTGTCTCTGAGTCCCCAGCAGCAGTGACTGCTCAGGGATCCTGTCCTCTTAGGGGCTCCTGAACTTGACCGTGGAGGAAGAAGCAGGGAGGTTGGCTTCTGCTGTTACTTGACACCCACCTCAAAAATGAAGGTTCCTTCCACCTGAGTGGAACCCTGGTGTAATGGTTAAGAGCTTGGCTGCTAACCAAAAGGTCGGCAGTTCAAATCTACCAACCACTCGTTGGAAACCCTATAGGGCAGTTCTACTCTGTCCTATAGGGTTGCTATGAGTCAGAGTCAACTTGAAGGCAACGGGTTTGGTTTTTTTGGTTTTTCCTTATGAGTAGCTATTTAAGCAGTCGGCGTTCTGTTGAGAAAAGGACATAAAAGTCTTATCACAGTGAGGAAGGTGGCCTTTGGTCAGACAGGACGGTGGACTCTTGGAGGTGTGAAGTCGATGCCTGTTTCAGATCCCTGGTGAGAGCTGTTCTCTAATAGCCTCGATAAGAGGCAGGAAGGCAGCTGATTGGATAAAACACTATCAAGATATGGATAATGGCTCTGTCTGAGTTCTGTTTACACCTGCACTCAACTTTATATAGGATTAATAAATAGGGCATATTAAATTCTCTTTAGAAATTTCCTTGGGAAAACATGTTTGTAAGATGTATTTCAGCTTTTGAAAAGAAAAAGAAGTATTCAACTCTTTCTCAAAAATAGAAGTGCATCTATAAAAGAGAACATCAACCTGCTACTCAACAGTAGGTTCGGAGTTAATGTGTAACGCTCGTCAAGACACTTACACTCTCTGGGATTTATTTTCAACTTTAGCGAGAAGTACTTGTTCTTGATATCACAGGATTCTTACAAAAGTGTTTCTTTTCCTAAGTATTTTAAGTTCTTGAACTGAAAGACACTTTTTAAGTCCAAAGTATAATCTAAGTTTCAAAGATAGCATGCAGCTTTTAAGTAAAACAAATGTGTTCCTTTTTTTGCTTTATTTTTCAATTTTAGTGGGTCATGGAGATAACATCTTACTGTATCCATTTGACTTGAAGACTTGTTATACAAGCTATTTTTCTCCTTTTAATCTAAAGAGAATGGTTTCTTTAAGTAAAAAATGAAGTCATTACTTATAGAACCATTAATTATTTAAGGGAAACAGTCTAAAGCACATTTGTTCATGTAGAGTTGCTCTCAGAAATTTTATTACTCTATTATGTTGTCTCATAGTGACCCTATAGGACAGAGTAGAACTGCCTGATAGGGTTGCCAAGAAGCGGCTGGATTCAAACTGCCAACCTTTTGGTTAGCAGCCAAGCTCTTAACCATCGACTCAACAGCATCGGGTAAAACAAAGATTTTCATAAACTCTAGGTGAAAATATCCTAAGATGTTTAAAATCCTTTACTTTGTATTTTTAAAGTATTTGTTGTTTGTATTAGGTAGTGTTATTTCTATTTTTGAAATTCTGTATTCTTTTATAGTTATTAATAATAGGTTATTTTAAGTGTTCATAGGAGACATTAAAAATTGTAATATGGAAAGCTCTATTTGATTTTTTTGTTAAATTTTATTTTAAAAATGAAAAATAGTACCATTTTATACATTAAGGTCTGTTTTAAATAAGCCTGTCTTCCAATGCATCTATACTGTATACTGGCATGGAAATACAAACTCCTACTTTACGGTGTCCATTACAACATGTTATTAGTAGTAAACAGACATTTTTTTCTATTAATTGTGTGACAAAAAAATCTTTTTAGATTAATATACAATATCATAGAATGGTGGTTTATCAATTTAATGAATTATTGTAATGGTTTTTAATTCCAAAAATTTTTGTGGAATACATAGTTGCTTTACTAGCTTAATTTGAGAGGTACCAAGAAACTCTGGCTCAAATTCTCCCTCACTGGTGCCCAGAACTTTACCATTAGCATTTAATTTCCTTTATACTAAGTTTGCTTCTCTTAGTGACCTTTTTTGTTTTGTTTTGTTTAAATGCAGTCCATCCTGGTGACGTAGTGGTTAAGAGCTCGGCTGCTAGCTAAAAGGTCAGCAGTTCGAATCCACCAGCTGCAACTTGGAAACTCTATGGGGCAGTTCTACCCTGTCCTATAGGGTTGCTATGAGTTGGAATGGACTTGAGGGCAATGGGTTTGGTTTTTTTGTTTTTGTTTTTGATTCCCTATGGAACAGTTCTACTCTGCGTACAGGAGGTCTCCTTGAATCCTAATCTACTCAACGGCAACTAACAACAACATTTCTGAGAGGACAGTAATTAAATTCTCCTTGAAGCCTTAGTGTGAGTTTTTGAATCCACCTGATTGCTCCCTGGAAACTAGACGCCTGGGGGCACAGGGATTCTGAAAGCGGCCAGAGCCAAGAAGCAGCGATGCTGCCAGGCCGGCCTAGAACAAACTGTGATGGTCTCCGATTTTATTGTGCAAATACCAGATATTTCTGGGTGGCAAATGTGTGTCAGAGGTACATATGAATGTTCTGACATGCCAGAGGTTTTAGCCTGGGGGCTTTCTCTGTTAACTTCAGCACAGTGATCAAAAGGTTTATATTGGTCTAATTTATTCATTCCTTCCATGAAAACTTGGAAATGAGAGAGATGGTGAAATGCTGTCTGAAGTACAATGAAACAAAAATTAATTTGTCCTTCACTATTGTATGTTTCAGAGACTGGAGCACAAGGAAGTTTTAGTGGGCTTGTTGTTCCTGGTTTTCCCGTTCATTCCAGCCAGCAATCTCTTCTTCAGGGTGGGTTTTGTGGTGGCCGAGAGAGTCCTTTACATGCCTAGGTAATTATTGCACATGATTTCCTGCTTAACAAGACCTGCCTTCTGTCACCAACATTTATAGTTCCAGAGAGACAATCCTTGTGTGTGTAACAGTTAGGTCCTTGTGGAGCTAAAGTTTTCATTACCTCAGCATTAAAAACAACCACACACAAGGTTGGATGAGATCACGTTTATAATGGTTTAACTCTAGTTGAAAGCTTTATAGTTGGATGTGAAATATTGACTTGAGTATATTCAGGATTTTAGCAGCAGTTATTTGTGCAATGTCTTTGTCCAAACATCTATGTTTTATTAAACACAATTACAGTAAATTTCTAGAAATATTTGTTGACTTGCATAAAATTATTATGTTAAGTAGCATGATTATAATTAATCTCTTCCTGTCTTCTGCCTGCTTTCTTGCTTTGCTTCCTTCCTTCCTTTCTGTCTTTCCCTTGTTTTATTTTTAATTTAAAATGGGAACAATCTGCAAAACACTTACCCTTGAGAAAAAAATGGTTGAAAAATTATAAAGAGCGTTCAGATTTGTGCAATGACATAATGCCACTTATTTCTGAATATTTGAATGTGCTGAAGCTTGTCTGCTCTCTTTTCTTATTCAAGTGTCATCATCGTTCCAAGGCAACATTTCTCTTCTAAGGCCTTGAAATGGCCTAGAATCAAAAGACAGTCTTGATTCTGTTGTGTATCAATTCTGTGACCTTGAGAAGGACACAAAGCTTCTTTGCACCTAGGTTTTCTCATTTTTTAAAATATGGAATTTAATAAACAATCCCTAAATTACTAAATTTTATGAGTGTATGTGTGTGTGTATATATATGAATAAACTTTCCTACAGGCAGTATCCCAAACCAAAATATCATAAAGAAATCATTTTTAATTCATGATATTGAAGTAGAAATTTTTTAAAATCATGTAATTAGAAATCATTTTCATAATATTTGATTTTCCCCAAACCCCAGATACTTAACACCTTTCTTGAGACTTTGCAGTGTCTTGTTTTAATGTGATTAAGGGAAAGGCAACCCTTAATTTGCTTTATGTGTCCTCAGTACAAATTGGGAAACAAGTTATTGCTTGAAAAATAGTATTTGATATGGGCAAAAATATAACACTAATTCTTTGTAGTCTGTATTGTCGTAAGATAGCGGTATTATGAGGTCTTGCCAATGGCAAAGAATATGCCTATATTATAGAAGGGCAAAATGGGGCATCAGTCTCTGTTCTAGATCTGTTTTTACTTTAGGCCAGGTCTAAATATCTTGAATTAGCTTTTCTCTTTAATTTTTCAATGCCAAGTGGAATCTATATTTATTCTTCATTCAACATATATTCATAGAGCATCTTTGCTACACATGGTACACTAGAATCTGAGACTACAAAAACAAATTAACCTCAGTACCTGCCCTCAAATTTTATTAGCTGCTGACTAACACCTTTCACTCTACATGCACATTTTTCACATCCTCAAATCATTTAGAGGAACCCTGGTGGCACGGTGATTAAATACTCCGCAGCTAACTGAAAGTTCAGCATTTTGAACCCATCAGCCTGTCAGCAGTAGAAAGATGTTCCAGTCTGCTTCTGTAAAGATTTACAGCCATGGAAACCCTACGAGTCACTTCTACTCTGTCATATAGGGTCACTATGAATTGGAATCGGCTCAAGGGCAGTGGGTTTGGTTTTTAATATACTTTTAAGATCCCTGGAAGGGGCGGAGCAAGATGGCGAAGTGAGTGGACACTCCCATTTACTCCCCCAGCAACTAATCCCTAACAATGAATAAAAGGAAGCATAGACTGAGATCTCAGAACTCCGGATGGCAGCTGAGGTGTTGGAAAGTCAGGACGAATCCAGAAGTGGGGGAGAGTAGGACTGGGAATGACACAGACACTGGGAGAACCTACCTGCTGACACTGTGAGCTCTCACTCATCATGGCCATTTTGGGACAGTGCTGGGCAACACCGCATAAAAGCAACACAGAGAGGGAGCAAATATGAGGAAACTGTAGTCCAATTTTTTAAGGTGGTACAAATTGGCCATAGTGATTCACATGCTGCGCAATTGAGAGGGGACGAAGGGAGACCGTGGTACTGTGAGAGAGTGCTATTGAATCATGCTGAGGCCAGAGATGGATGGACACTAGGACCAGGAGGAACTGCAAGGTCAGCAGAGTGAAGGGAATACTTCAGACTGATGGACAACACAAAGAGAAACAGCTCGCTCCCTGCCCACAGTGGGACACCGTGGGAGAGCCCGTGCACGGGCACCCGTGAGAGAAAGACATAGAGAGTCACGTACTTTCGCCACAGGAAAGTTGAACCTCACCGCTGACGTCAGTGTCTACAACCAGCTAAAACCCCCTCTCCCATGCACGTGTATTGAATTCCAGAGATCAAGCATTCAGGACTCCTGGATCAACACTGAAAAAAAAAAAAAAAAACCTAAGGATAAGAGTGCTATCTAGTGATTCTCAGGAGAAGATACCTAGCCCACCACTGCTGGGTTGATTCTGCTTGGTAGAGACCCAGTGAGGGGGAGTGGAGCTGCCCCATTGAGTTCCTAGGGCTATGAGTCTTTGCAGAGGCAGGCTGCCACATATTTCTCCTGCAGAGTGGCTGGTGGGAACAGGCCCTGACTTTTTGGTTGGCAGCTGAGCACTTGGCCACTATACCACCAGGCCGACAAACCAGAACATTTTTCCAGAATAATCAGAGTATAAAATTTCAATAAAAAAGAGAAGATAGCAAAATAGCACAGGTTCAACAACAACAACAACAAAAGTAAAACACACAAAATAACATGAGAAAAATGATCAGTCAAAAGCAAAACATGAAGAAGAGGAAATTTCTCCTGTGGAGGCCAAACTATTACAAAGAATTGGTGATTTTCAGACTCTGGTGCTAAATGTGTCTAAAGAAAGCAAAAAGCACACAGAAAAGAAACTAGCAGAGATCAGGAAACAAATGGAGGAACAAAAGGAGAGACTGAACAAGAAAATTGAAAACATCAAAAAAAAAAAAAAAAAAAAAGAGAACTAGTGAGACTGAAGAACAAAGCAACTTAATTAGAAAAAGCAAGAGAAACACTTAACAATAAAGTCAGAAGATAGAATAAAATGAACTAGAAGACAAAATAACTGAATTTATCAAGTCTCAAGAGAAATAAGAGAAAAGAACAAAGAAAAGTGAAAACACCCAAAAGCAAATATGGGATTCCATTAGGAAATCCAACATTAGAATTCTTGGAATCCCAAAGCACCATGACAGTAATAAAGGCATAAAACAATTTTCCAAGAGATAATCAGAAAATTTCCCAGACCTGAACAGAGAACCAAGGCTGCAAATACAAGAAGCTTCATGAACCCCAGTCAGAAGAGACACAAAAAGATCAACTCTGTGCCATGTCCTAATAAAATTCTTGAAAACCAAAGACAAGGAGAAGATTCTGAAAGCAGCACGAGAGAAATGCAATATAAGATACCAAGGATCTTTGTAAAAATTGGTGCGGATTTCTCTCCAGAAACCCTAGAGGCCAGAAAACAATGGAGCGACATAAATAAAATACTGAATGAAAACAATTGCCAACCAAGAATTCTTTACTCAGCAAAGTTGTCATTCAGAAATGGAGGGAGGAATTAAGACATTCCCAAACAAACAGAAGCTCTGGAAATTTGCCACGACCATTCCAGCTTTGCAAGTATTACTCAATGTAGTAATCCAAATGGAAAGACAAGAGCATTAAATAAATACTCATGTCTGTACATGAGGGAAAATAAGTAAATAACAAATAAGAGAGAGAGAGATCTCCAAAAAACACAACAACGCAGGAAATCATAAGAACCAAGTATATGATATTTTCAGTGTATAAACTCAATAATTAAATCCTACAAACAATATAACATGAAATTGATAAGACATAAGCACAAAGTAAACTTATCGAGTATAGGTTGTATATTGACATTAATGGAGACATACCAGCAGAAATGGGGGAGGGAGGAGAATATCAGGAATAAGTTGTATGTTAACTGTTATTCATATGTTAAACATTGTTGCAGTTGTAAGTTGTGTCATATAATATATGTGGTAACCACTAAGAAATTACCAAGAAAAAAATTTCAGAAGAAAGAGAAAGAAAGCAAAAAGGCTTATCACAAGAAGCAGCCAAATACAAACAAAAACAGAAAAATCAGAATAAAATAACTAAGATGATACAAAACACTCAAAAAAAAAAAAAAAGAATAGCAAAATGAGTGAGGTAGACAGTTTGTTTTTAGTAATCACCTTAAATGTAAATTATCTAAACATCCCATGCAAAAAGCAGAGTGGCAGGATGGATTAAATTAAAAATTATCCTTTTGCTGTCTACAAGAAACTCACCTTAGGCATAAAAGACACAAAAAGACTAAAAAAAAAAATGATGGAGTAGAAGATTCCATGCAACTAGTAAACAAAGAACAGTGGTGGTCATACTGATATCAGACAAAATAGACTTTAAATCAAAATCTATTATAAGAGATAACTACATTACATAATAGTGAAAGGGTAAATCCAGCAAGAAGACTAACATAAATATATATGCACCTAACAGCAATGCACCAATATACATGAAACACTGAGTAATATGAAAGGAGAAAGGAACAATACCACAATAATATGAGGGGACTTCAACACACTGCTTACAGTTCTAGATTGAACATCTAAAAAGAAGATCACTAAGAACATTGAGAATTTAAATAAAACTGTAAGCCAGTCGGACCTAATGGACATATACAGAACACTCCACCCAGCATCACAAGATACATTCTTCTTCAATGCACATGGATCATTTTCAAGAATAGACCATATGCTAGGACACATAACAAGTCTCAACAAATTTTAAAAGATTGAAATCATACAAAGCATCTCCTGACCATAATGATATGAAGCTAGAAATCAAAAACTGGAAAAATAGGGAAAAATAAATAAATACATGGAAACTAAATAGTACACTATTAAAA